GTAAGTAACAGAGAACAAAGTGGCACCAAATTGGAATTCATCATGGCTTTAATGTGGTGATAATTACAATAGAAACGAATAAAAAAAACGTTGGTTCTTTTTGCTCAACATGTGCAGAGGTGGCAGTGATCCAATCGCTGAATGCATGCATGAAGACATATACTTGCATCAAAGGGTCGAGTGCAGCGACGCATGCTGCTGTAAATCCTGCGCACGATTACCATAAACATGCTACAGAGTTCAGCATTGCCACCCAAATGGTCACATATAGTCTGACTCTGAACACAGACATATGAAAACAATCAAACGAACCACATTTAAGTTCAAAAGATTAGCACCACGCAGCACCTCCTGACTTTACTCTGCAGATTTTACTCCCTGACTCTGGTTAGAGAGTTACAGCGAGTGAATGATTATATTGCTCGAGGTGCTGATGTAGACGACCCAAAGAAAGTGCCCACCTGTGCGGGGCTTGTTAAGAAAAATGTAAGTCAGCGACGTAATCCCTCCCCTGGGCCTCACCAATGTGAGCCAATTTGTTGACTATGCCTCATTTTCCCGTCTCTTAATGTCCTGGAAATGGTTCCATGAGACAACATGTCAGACCAAAGAGGCCTGATAGTAAGTTTAAAAGAGGGGCCCATTTTAACCTTCAAGCACACGAGCAGCTTCCTGTTCAGTGGGACCCTAAGATTAGATCGCAATCATTCGTCTCACTGCTGGGTTTGGTGCTGTCACCCCTTTTGCAAAGGCTAATGTGTTCCTTCCTGCCTGCACTGTGTTTAATGCTGCTGAGAAACTTGATACGACACAAGAACAGTCTGCATTAACATGTGACAAAGCCTTGGCAGAGATCTAACACACAACGCAGGATGCCTTGGAGGCGTTAGATGTTTGACCACCTTGCAAAACATAATTTTCGTGACATGGGGAGTCAGGTATGGTACCAAACAGGAATGTTATTCATGCAATTTACAAAAGTAATTGCAGGATCTGGAGTGCATTTAGAAAAAACAAAGAATATATACATAAGCACGTAGAAAAATAAACTATTAACAATATACAGCTTTCTGTCAAACAAGAACTGACCCCAATTTCTCACCTTGCAATTCAAAGCGCAACTACTAGACTACAGCAAGGACGCTGGAGGCATTCAAATGGCTGTTTGGACAAGGTGGGTGATCAGCTGCCACTTGTGTTTACATGGGCCTTAATGAGCTTCAGACTGAGCACAGGTGCATCCTGGTCTACTTACATACTGGATAAACATGCTGTTGTGAAGGCAGTTAGGGGGTTTAGCTCATTACCTGTCGCCCATCTCAGACGGCCTGCTGCCAAGAGCGTCAGGACCCATCAGGCGTTCAATTTCTGCCTCTGGTGAGAAACCCAACAGGTGTCTGCTGCTGTGCTGCATGGAAGCAACTTCGAGCGAAGAGCCCGGGCCACCCTGAAACAGACTGATGACGAAGAAAAAAGTCAGTTAAGAAAAACAAAAACCCCGCAGGTGAGGTAAAATCAGGACACTTGAGTTAGAAAAGAAAAGAAATGTAAAAAAAAAAAGAACTCGGTGCTGGACTTAGATGACCGCTGAAATGCACGTGACCCACATCCTGTGCACAGGAGGGATTTTTGTTTTTAGCCACGAGCAGAATCTGAACTCTGATCTCGACCGCACAACCCAAAGGGCGCGTGCACACAAGCAAAAATACACACAGTTACTTTGAGTGGTATTACTACGCTGTGTGGCATTTTCATTTCAAAGGGATCTAACCTCAAAGCGGGCATTTTTTACATTCCAGAGGAGAGCCCAAACACAAAAAGCCACAGATGTGAGCACAGGTAGAGGCTCACGCACACTTCAGATACTGTGAATGCAACCGCAAAAGCAAACTCATTCGCAGTCCTGGGAAACTTATCCATGTTTAACCTCGAGATAAAAAGGAAAGAAAAAAGTGGATTTTAGTAAAGAGAAGTTTCAGATCCAGAAAAGATATGCTTGGATCCTCGTGGAGAATGCTATTCCCAGTAGGAAATAAACATTTTTACAAAATGAGAACAGAAAATTTTTCAATACACTTGGAGGTGAACTGCGCTCTTGAGTTACACAACCCCTCCATCTGCTAGCTGAGAGGAATCAAGTCCCCCCCCCTTGGTGTAGTTTTATATAACTCATTACAATTTGTCCCAGTTGTTAATATTACAAGCAGAGATAAGAAAAATGACCATGTGCAAATGCTTTTTACATTTCTTTCTAATGTTTGAAGCCAGAACGATTTTATTTTACTTTCACAAGTGGTAACAGTTTACTTTTGCCCCAGCCCATCGCAGTGTTTTGAGAGTTATTCATCCATTAGTCAAGAAGTCCTATAAACTCTGGCAGCAACATCAGAGGACTGAACTGTACACAAGAACAATACGGCACATATGAACTATTAATCGTCACTTTCTTTTCCAAGAGATTGGCTTTGGTCAGGATAAAGGTGGGCTTTTATAGCATGTGCATTAATGGACTACATACTACTCAGTACTATGCTCTGGTGCTTGGCTCCAGAGCATAGTAGTAAAGTCTTACGGGGAAACCCCCAAAAGTGTTATCATGCAAAGTCAATGACTTTTAATATACACAAATATTAGCTCAACCGATGATCACCTTTTATTTCCTTTTACTTTTTGTTCAATATACTTGATAAAATAGATTTTTCTTCGTTTTGAGGGAGTGGGGCAGTTAAAAAGTTGAAGACGTTTTTTGCATAATATCTTACATGTAGGGCGTGCTTCCCACTGTGAGTCATGGGGCTTCCCATTTCTATTCAGTCAATAATCATGGCAGAAATATTCATGACAATATCAGCCGTCATCAGCACTCATTTGGTTTGAATTGAATTTCAGCCATCGATC